CCAATTTTTAAAAAACAACAATGAAAAAGCTCGCTTAATATACAATGCGTTGTTTTTTGACTATCGTATTGTGACTTTTCTACAATTTCATATTGGAATGTTTTGTTTAACACGAAAGTAATTGGTATGTATTTGGTTGCAATTTGGGTATATATTTTTGACCTATAAAATATTCTAAATTAAATAACCAAAGAACCACAGCCGTTAAACTTGTATTAAACATTATTGTCTCTCTTTTACAAAGACAACTTTAACCATATGTATATTATATCAACATTTTTTGAACAGTGAACACATAATAAAATCTATCTGTCCATATATTGCTGTATAACGAAAATGTTAGAAGTTTCGCAAAGGTCGTTTGCCCGGGCCTGCATACGTGGCAGTGAGGGTGATGAGTTTGTGAACCCCGTAGCCCCGATTACTAAGGACAATTTCCTCATAAAAGTAAGCTAAACCAATAAGAATACGTCTGGCATTAACAGTTTATAAGGGACCATAAAACTGATACACTGTAAGTCGTGTTAGCATGTGAGAACGAAAGAACTTTTTTAATAAGCAGTAAGTGTCTTCACTGGGATACCTAAAATAAAAATGGGGTAAACAGAAGGCCAGAAGCTTGAGCCTGTCACATTTATTTACTTGAATTGACGTAAAACCCTTTTTATACGACAGAAAACATACTACAGGCTTTTAGAATTAATTAGTACTTTACTATCTCTTTTGGTAATTTCTCTTATCGATATTCAAATGTCTTACATCACTAACGCAAAGTAACGAAAGCGTTTACGGTATTTCCATTGCAAATATGTATGCAAATTGCCGGCGCCGCGGTCTCTGTTAATTTACAACGACATCTAGGCCAGCCTTCCGCAGGGAGTTGCTGATAAAATTGCAAAGTGCGACACTTTGATAACTGATGTTTTTTAGCTTCATTACTGAACTGCAGTTAGCTTTAACTATGACCTAGACATACCTATAATATAAACATGTTTGTGTGTACATTTGTGTAATATGTGATTATAAAATATGATGCAAATAGAACATAGGACTTCTAAATCGCAAATCTCCTGTTTAACTACTGCGCTACAGACCCATAAGTTGTTTAATAAAGTTAAAAGTGAGTTAGACTCTTGTAGAAATATCGTATAACGATTCTAACTAGATCTTCCGTTCGATATTCCTGCCTCGGATTAGAGCTAGATTGCTTTTGCGACTGATCAAAATCTAGGTTGAAGTGGATTAATTAATGGCGCTTGATTGAGTATTCAAGTTAACTTGTTTAAATTTTATCTATTCAAGTTAATATTTTAAGTATTCCAAGTTTCACTGATTCATTGATTAATGAAAAATTTGATCCTAATTTGTAAAGTAGTAATTAAAAATAAAACCGAGAAATAAGTCAGCAATATGATTTGGTTTTATTACGTTTTTATTATTTGTAATAGTTTTGATGATTTCTAAACAAATATTGGACCGATATCGGATATATCGATATCCGATATGGATCGCCATAGGTTGTAAAATGTTACAAGACTGGTTATGTTATTAATATTACATGTTAGACGCAAAGAAGATTCTTAAATTCTAACTGTACTATATTTTAAGTAACAATACGATTGAATCGATACGAAATAATATATTAGAGGTCAATGAACTTAAACTTTTCAGATGTAAATGTAAACGATCACCACCGTGACCCAAAGGGTAAAACTGATTTAAGTTAGATTACTAGCTATTCCCGTGCGGCTTCATCCGCATGGAATTATGAAAATTTTATTGTTTATATTTGTCAAATTATCGTATTCGTAAGTGTAGGGCTTTTTATAAAAAAAAAAGAATTATTCAAAAATATGTAGTAATTGCTGACATTTTAGGCAACAAAGAAGTGTGTGTTTACGCTTTATTATAATAGTATAGATTATGGGTTTCTAGTCTCATAATTGGGGTCGATTTTTATTACTACGGTATACTCGTTGTTTTAGTTCCCATTAGCATAGTACTTACTAGATATACTATTGTCCTAAGTTTTTTGTATTCTATGTATTTTAGGCAGATTTTCCTAAAACTTGAGGATTCAGTCTGGTCTATTAATTAGAATAAATCTAGTTTAACTGCATCTCCAGATTTTCTCGTTCTTAACTTTTTATAAAGAAAAGTATAGTGATTATTCATTAATACTTGTAACATATTAAAATAGTAATTACGTATCTTAGAAAGTCTTGGAATTGGGAAGGCCACGCCAATTAGGTGGTAGATTGATTCATACACGCGATATAATATCAGTTACGAATAATTTTGTTCGGAAAACGATACGAGTAGCGTCGGTCTCAGGTTACGACTTTGTGGTTATGAAATCAGTTTTGTTACACGCAAATACTTCGAAGTAAACAAGGTCACAGGTTATAATGGACGAAATAATTTACAATGCTTATTGTAGTCTACAACTAAGCAAATAATAATTTTAAGGAATGTAACTTTGCTGTATTTTATTTAAATCAATTGAATACTCCACCTTAACAGTAGAAGGATGGCCAGAGATTACAGTTGTCTGGTTGAATCTGCTTACATAAGTGCATTTATAATTTTATTAATATGCAAATTAAGAATTTAACATTATTACTAAATGAATCTATTGCAAATGTACTTAAATTGTAGGAAAGTAATTAATGATTTGTATACTCAAAAGAGTAATATCAATCTACCCTCATTCATTATTCATTGTGCAGTGCACCGAGGCGGACGTGTGTCGTGTGCGGGGCGCCGAACAGTGCATCGCGCATAACAATTATGTCTCCCGCTGATTTGTCAGCTACGTGTCGATCAACTTCGCATTTACATTTCGACGTCAAAGAGAAAATTAGTTTTGCGCAAGGAATATAGAGTAAGGGGATTTAATGAGAAACATGCATTGGTGGATTTCAAAACCAACAAACAAATTGAAACTATGATACGATTGCATAGAAGGTAATCTTTAACTCTTCACATTAAAAGAACGTAGACAAAACAAAAGCGTAACTCATAAAAGAAAACAAATGACTGTCTAAAACAAATTTCAGCACAGATTTCGATTTGCATTATCTTTAGCAGTTGGTTCCTTTAACTTATAAATAATTTAGCAGTTCCAATATCTCAATGCCAAATCCCGTTTTTCATTCTTTTACATTTTCTTAATTATTCATTGGTTGTTCTTTCTCGCCAAGAAGACTTAGTTTCACAGTTTTCGTTTCTACTTTCCACACTTCCAATCATATAAATATTATAAATGCGAAAGTTAAGATGGATGGAGGGATGTTTGTTAGCGTTTGTGGCCTAAACGGCTGAACGGATCTCCATGAAATTTGGCAAAGATTTAAAGCATAGTCTGGAAGAACAAATAGGCTACTTTCTTTTGTTTTTATTGATACCACGCGGCCGGAGTCGCGGGTTGAAGCTAGTAAGAAATAATTAAGAGTTAAAAAGCCTATATTTTGAAGACGGCATATGTTTCAAGAATTCGTTGCGGTTTAATGCAACTTTAACTTGGGCAAGGTGGACGAAACATCTGCATCACTTCCTGCAGTGGAATCAGTGCGAAATCGCACCACCTGTCGTACCTTGACAGGTGCTGTACGAAAATAAATCCTTCGCATCGCCAGACACCGCTCATACCTTCGTGGTACTAAGACTTGACAACTATGCGTCAAATTTGTATCAGAAGGAAGAATATTTGTAGATAATGTTATACATTATAGATATCAGAAAAGAAATACATACATAGTAAATATGTCATACTGTACTTTCAATTCTAAAGAAGAGAAATGCCCATGAGCGGAAGTTCTGTCGTGGTTTGATACATTTTTTGCTTGGTATTTTCCGTTAATCTAGGAAAATTTTCATGTGGTCATCACATCAATTAGGTCCTTTTCAGCAAGTCCCCAAATACTATTATTTATACTATAATAATTAAATTGACATAGTCCTTTATCATTGGTCACAAAATGTTTTTGTCTAGAGGGTTTATACTTTTTTATTGGAATACAAATGTTATGCAAAAATCAGATTCTCTCGTTATTCGCCAAATGTAAATGCGAGTATTTTTTCCTCGACAACCGAGCATTTGGGTCACCTGGAACGCTTCCAGAACCAGCTTGACACGTGATGTACGAACTTATGTTTACAAAACGATCGGCTAAATCAATATAACAAATGGAGGAAGGCCGGGGAACAGCGGATGTGTATCATCGCCTGCTAAATTTTGATGTCTTACTCAGGTGGTAATTGTAATTTTCTATATTTATGTCGATACCTTACTTATTGATGTCTTCAGTTAACCTCTCATTCTTTATCATCGTTTTAATTGAGTAATCTAGCATTTTTTCATGAAATATCCAATCATCTGTATATTACCAGTGTTTCATTATCCAAAAATAGTTCAAAGATCAATAACAAAAAAACCTACATCGTTTAACATTGCAGTTATATCATTAACAACACCCGTGAGAATGTATTGTTTAAAAAAGACCAGAACAATGCGATGTATCGCGATCTCCCATGGCCACAAGTGGAAAATTCAGTAAAAAAGCTTTCTCATTTAGTATTATTAATACAATGGGGAAACTTGATGTTACCATGCTACAAAAAGTAAAGAAACTATAGCAAATGATTACCATTAAATTATGAGAAAACTTATTTTAATGACGACCCAAGTGATAAAAGTCATTTGGAAGACAATAAATCAATGATGGTGACATACATTTTTACAGACGCTATTAAATCGTGTGATATGTCCGTAAAGCTTAGGTTGGGAAAAAAAGGGGCGGGGTGCGATGCGTCATAGCCACCCTACAGAACGCACCCCTTACACCCTCGCCTCGAACAGCTATCGATCCGGAGACCAGTGTCATGCGCAGAACCCGCCTTTTGTTTATACTATGAATATTACATTTTTTATAAAATAAAATAATTAGCTAAAACTCGATTTCAATTATTATGAATCTTACTAGAAAATTAATACTCACTGGCACTCGTTCATTATCTCTTCCTGGGATCGCACTTGAACCGGGGCGAATTTTTCAACACTTTCCTCATAGTTCCCGAAGCACTTGGTAATTTTCTCATCAAAGGTGTTAACCAAATCTTCAAGTGATCCGGAAAATGTCTCTGTGAAATTATCGCCTTCGACATTCTGCATATTATCCTGTTTGCACTTCACCACTCTCGATACATCGTTGTCATTTATTTTATTGGAGTCGGTTTTCATTTTAGTCATTTCACTTTTCAAATTGTTGATATTGTTCAGATGTATGTCATTACCGTTTATGGTTTTCTGTGGATAGTCTACCGAAGTCAGACAATCATCGGCATCTTCGATTTGAGCGAGCGGCGCCTCGAACTCGAGCTCGGCCATCCTAGTACCTGCTTCTCTCATGACCGTACAAACACCCGCGCCGCCTACCGACCGCGCGAACACTGCGCCCGAACTCGCCAACTATGTCGCTAGTAGTCACTTGGTCACTTGTTTTGTATCGTCGCGCGCCGGTATCATTATCTGCAGGATACAAACTGAGAACGAGTTCACAGCTCTCGGTAGTTCTCAGCCTCTGTGTTAAATTCAAATTGTAAATTTCGAGATTTAACGGCCGAATTAAAGTATAGTAACAGCAATATGTAGAGGTACATAAATCCTTCAGTAACATGGTAATTTTTTAATCGAAACATTTCCATTTCCACTGAAATATGTTAACATGTGTTTCCAAGTATTTAATTGCCATTGCGAAATTCGACTTAGGGTTATAAAAAACTTAAATCGGTTTTAATTCCATTGGATTAATTTAATAGGTATCCTGAAAACAAGTAAAAACAAAAATTGTGAACAAGAATGTTCCTTTTCTTGATTTTATTGCCAGGGTTAAAAAATATTTTAAAAATTAACACAACGTTTGTCTTTTTTATTTAATTACTTTTAAAAATGGGTTATTTTAAAAATGCTTAATTTAATAAATGCATAGACTTATCTCAATGGGGATTTTTGGAATATTTTATTTTGCCTTTATTTTGTAGATAAACCATGTATGAACACGAAAAAAAATAGTATAAAATATAATACTCATTATTTCAATAAAAAAACACGTAAATA